CCTTCCTTCCTCCCTCTGTGGCAAGATGTTAGGCCTCATGTATGCATGGCAAGTATTCTCCCAAATAAGGAATATCCCCAGCCACGGGCTCATGAATACTTATAATAATGTATTTCTTCTGCAATTCAGTCAAAATAATTTGAAAGCAACCTCTTTAATAGTAGTGGAGAAAACCACAGCCATCAAATCTTCAGACACCAGTGGAAAATATTCCCTATCTTCAGTCTGGGATTGCCGTGCAAACCTATTTTTCTCTTCAACAAGCCGTGAAAGTCACATAAGAAAACATGACAGGCCCAAATCCACACTGTTAACTCTAGAACACACAGAAAAATGACATTCACTATACACTGCTTTGGCTACCCCCAGACAACTAAAGTCTTGGTTGTAGGAAACGTCCTGAGAGCTGTCTCTAACACCGCCTCCTTCATCCACTCAGGACAGCCAGGGATGGCAGAAATGTAAAACAGCATGTACTCATTGCGCCTTTGAACACGTCTGACACATGACGTAAGGAAGGAAGGATATGTCGCTCAGGGATGTGGTTTTCAGCCTGTATAGTCTGGTTCTTTTAACTCTGGGCACCACAACAATGGGAATGTGTGGCAAGGGCTGCTCTCATGGGGCAGACAGGAAGCAGCACCCTGGTGCTGAGGAACTGACTCCTTTCCATTTCCACTCAGGCCTCCAGCCTAGGGGTGGCACCACCCACACATCTGGGCGAGGCCTCCAGCCTAGGGGTGGCACCACACACACATCTGGGCGAGGCCTCCAGCCTAGGGGTGGCACCACACACACATCTGGGCGAGGCCTCCAGCCTAGGGGTGGCACCACACACACATCAGGGCGAGGCCTCCAGCCTAGGGGTGGCACCACCCACTGTCAGGCTAGGCCTCCAGCCTTTGCTGATCTCTGGAAACAGCGTCCCAGACTTACACAGAGGCGCACTTCCCTCTCTTTCAGGTGTTTGCCTTTCCAGTCAAGTGATCAGTGCCATCACCACCCAGCAGTCAGGGTAACTCAGACTTACACTAAAGCCTGTGGCACGCCGCTCCCGCCAGCAGAAGAGACGACCGCAACAGGATTCTTCTCAGAACACACTTTATTGGAGCACTTACACTTGAGGTTGTAGAGAGGCAAAAGACCCCGTCTCAGGGAGGATCTTAACCTGCGTCTGTCTGGAGCAGGAGAATCATGGCGACTCCCTATCCACTCTATTCTAAGACTAACTACCAAGAAATAAACATCCTTCCTTTTTGGATTGGGACACGTTAGCAAGGTTCACCACAGCATCTCAGCCCAGTGAGAAAGGGAGACTCTCCTCCCTGAGGATGAGGCCTAACTGGTCACCCAATCACTAAGTCCTCAGCCCTGACTGAACCCACACGCATGCAGGCTGCACTACACAGACTATGAAGGTTGCACTCATGTATTCCTATGTGCACATGTAACAGCAACAAGTAAAGGAAAAGATGACATGAATGAGAGGGACTGGGTGGAGCATGGAAGGAGGTGGAGGAGAAGAGAGACAGGAAAATAGCAAAACTGCAAAAGAAAAACAAAGTCTTACCTCCAAATTTCTCAAAGAGTCTTAAGAACTAGATAATTACCGGGAAATGAGGAAGACCAGCAAAGTTTGAAATTTAAGGACATCTACTACAATTTGACAGCAGAAAGGATATATAATTCCTTCTAGCCAGCTAAGAGCTTTATCTTATCCTAATTATGTGAAGAATGTGAATACGTTTCTATTAGAAACACAAGGGAAAGCACAAATACAACTGCATTTCAGACTCAACCACTCACTGCTGTGTCTTCACTGACTCAAGTTATCCTGTAATTCAAATGTGTATATGTATTTTTTAGCAAGCATCGAGCACCAACACTTTAAATTTTAATTCCTCCTACTTTAGACAGTTTTAAATCAGTAAACTAAAATGAAAAGCTTCACACCTATATAAAACAGAATTTGTAGCAAAAGGTGAGTCTAAAATCCTGGTTTAAAATGTGGTGAAAACACATTAAAGTACCTTTTAAAAGAGACACTTTAGCAAGGGGTTCATTTAGGTCTTGCTCATCCATCTGGGCGTCTATGTGGGGAGAAAGAGAATTGTAGAATTTTAAAAATCTATCAGCAAATTATTATTATCATAATAAATACAAAGTATACATCTTCTATGCTTGGATAGTTGAAACTAGTTTTAACAAAATATCCAGGATTTTATAGAGGGATCTGATAAATAAAAACAATGCTTTTTTATTAAAAACAAACTCTGAAGTTTCTATGCACAGTAACCAATAAACCTAAATTGCCAAGAGACTGTTCAGATTGGTAAACACTAGGTTAAAACTCACCTGTAGTGTCGTCACTGCTTTTTTCCTTGCTTGGACTCAGAGTGTCCGATAAATCAGATTCCTTGGCTCTTGTCTGGTTTTCTATTAGGAAAAGCACAAAAGTCAAAATGTTATTATAATTCAACACTTCTATTAAGAAAACTGCTTTCAGTATGAATGTTCAGAATCTATGCTAAAAATCAGTTGAGATCACTGAGTCTCCTTGTTCTTCACCTCCCACCCAAAACGCAATGCTGGTTGATTTCTCAGAGTCGCAGCAGATCGTGTTGTGGCTCCTGCCTGCTATGCCGAGGGCTGGGGCTCTTATTTAAGTCTGTCTACTTATCAGCTGGGAACAAAAATGCAGCAAACTGCTACAGTAATCAAGCAAGCACGACAAACGCAGCAAAATTCCCAGGGCAATGAGGACATTGTATGAAGAAGATTGAAGGAAAAGACTGGAAGCTTAACAGTGCAGAGCCACAAAAATCACCGAAAACTCACAATTATAAAAGTTCCCCTTAACATGAGGAGCCCATTTCTAAAGCAAACACAATGAATGGGAACTACAACAAGAAGGGACGCCTGTTTCAAATGTTCCGGTGCTGTTTTCAAGAGTTAGTCTGCCACATCTGACCAAGTCATTCTAGGCCATTGCTCTCAGTGTCCAATCACAGCCAACAGTTTATTGAAGATGTGAGTGACTAAGTCCCAATCATTATACTAGCATATCTATACATTCTATGGCATTCTTTAGGACAGGACTTCATAGAAGGTCATTCCCCCAGCCAAAACTTTGTACCATCACGTCTAGGAATCAGCTAAGTTCATACCACAAAGTTTAGCCCTACTGTCATCCCCGTATTGATTCCCACAGGAGTTCAGTTATGTAGGCTTCTTTATAGGGCTCTGTATAACAGCTCACTACAGTCTACAGTTCTTTGTTAAATCGACATTTCCCTAACCTCAACAGCCATTTCCCCTATCTGGCCCACGCTGTAGGTATGGCTTTTATCTCATTACTTTAACTGTTTCTCTAGTATGTTACTTTTGATTAATCTTCTCTGTTGTGTCACCCCTCCCCGTTGATCATACTCCACTTTCTGGGAATATATAGATGCTATTTCTCTAATAAGATAATCATATTCATTAAGTAGATTACTATCTTCATGATCATAAATAATCATGGCATAAATCTGACTGTACCATTAGTGACAATATACACCAAATATCAAAATATGCAAAACCATGAATTGGGAGTGATGGCTCAGTAGTTTAGAGCATTTCCTACTCTTGTAGGGAATCCTGCTTTGGTTCCAGCACCAAGAGAGTGGCTCACAACCGACTATAACTTCAGGTTCTATGGATCCAACACCCCTTGTGGCCTCTGTGGGCACCAGACACATGTATGGTTGACATACATGCATGCAGAGTAATATTCATACATGCATAATTAATAAATCTAATAAATAAAATGTGTAAACTCCCTAAGGAAATAATGGATTATGTCAGGTATTACATAAGGATGCTCACTATAGTACTATCATTATGGGAAGATAAAATGTGTATTGAAAATACTTAATATTACTAACTAAAAAGTATAGCACAGTAAGTAAAATTCACACACACATACACAGAGAGCTTTAAAATATTTGCATATTTAGTTAAATATATTTAGAGATTTTGTTTCATTTTACTTCTCCCCTTACCCCTTCGTATCTTTCCTGAGACAGGGATTCATGTGTAGACCGTGCTTACCTCTTACTCATGGATCTCCTGCCTCAGCTAGTAAGTGCTGGGATTACAGCCCAGACCCAGCAAGCTATGAAGTTTTTGTTACACGTGTATTTTCAAGCTCTAGTAGCATATATAACAGATATCAATCAATGCTTATTGCTAGAGATGGGTGCATGAAGATATTTATTAACTTCACTAAATCTATTCAAGAATCAAACAGCAGACAGAACAAAACAAACGACAGAACATCTATTTCTGGTCATGCGGCAGTATCCAAGTCTGTAGTTTAAAAAAGTTATTACTAGAGCTAGAGAGGGGACTCAACAGCTGAGACCGAGCATTGCTCTTCCAGTGAGCCTGGGTTCCGTTCTCAGCATCTGCCTTGGGCAGTACACAGGCCCCTGTAACTCTAGCTCCAGAGGATCTAACACACTCTTCTGGATTCTGAGGGAACCTGCACTTACCTGTATATACCAACAGAGACATACATACATACACACACATATATACATATATACACACATATATAACATATCTAAGAACAAAAAATCAATCTTTAAAAGGTACTGTTTATAATTAATTGTAGATGTTCATGTTTGCCTGTGGATATGTGCATTCAACTGGAAGTGCCTACAGAAGCCAGAGGTATCTGAGTCCTTGGGGATGGAATCACAGATGTGATGTGGGTCCTGGGAACTGAACTTTGAAAGAGCAGTAAGTACTCTTATCTGTTCATGTTCAGTCAACTCTCCAGCCCCCTTTGAAATTTCTGTATACACCACTGGACCCATTTCTGGGAAAGAAGGTAAAGTTGAAGATCAAGAAGGACAAAGATTTCACTTTTATTGTTTTTGTTTAGTCAAGGCCTTACTCTGTATCTTAAACTGACCTGGAACTTGCTACGTAGCTCAGAATAGCCTCAGATTCATGGCAATCCTCCTGCCTTGGATCCTGAATGCTGGGATTAGAGTACCAAATCTAATTGTATTAACCTTTGTTCAACGTGAGGACAGTGCTTCCTGCTTATAAAGCTTATAAAGCAGGAAGCACATATTTACATCAATAATAATCAAAATAAATTTATATCAATAAATTCCCACAAAAGGGCCAGGAAGATGGCTCAGCAGAAGGTACTTGCATCTGGCCTGACAGTCTTAGCTCAATCCCCAGAACCCACAGGGTAGGAGAACAATTCGCACAGGCTGTCATTCATCATAGATAGATTTAGGCATGCCATGCATGGCAAGTGTGCACCTCACACCCACAAATAAACACATAAATGCATTTTAAGGATATCACGATAATCCTGTAAGATAAATTTCATTTTACAAATGAGGAAAGTAAACCTAGGCATGCTGGGACACATATAATCCCTCACTGAGGGGGTGGTGATGTCACAGTATTGTGGCTTTGAGTCCAGTCAATGACACACAGTAAGAACCTGTCTCAAAAACCAGCCTAACACACACCAATAACAGTGGTTTAAAGATCTAAAGTGAGAAGCCAGGCGTGGTGGTGCACGCCTTTAATCCCAGCACTCAGGAGGCAGAGGCAGGTGGATCTCTGTGAGTTCAAGGCCAACCTGGTCTACAAGAGCTAGTTCCAGCTAGGACTGTAACACAGAGAAACCCTAGTCTGGAAAAACAAAACAAAACAAAACAGATCTAAAGTGAGCTGCCTGAGGATATCCAGTTAGTAGAATTATCTACTTATATTCCTTTTACTTCTAAGCTACTATGGATATGTAATGACAGTAGCTTGAGCTAGTCCTAAATCAGAAAGCACACATGACATGATTATATGCCATGCTAAATGAAGTCTTCAGAGGAATAAGTAAGACTGGTAACAGCTGATCATTTAGTCTTAGCAACTGTCATTTTCATTGGGGGAAAAAAAAAGTCCACCACAAAAATCAGTAAATGCATTTTTAAAGGACAAATAATTTAGTCAAATTTAAGGGAAATATTTTATAGCCAGATTGAAAACATTTAAAATATAACTATTGTGGCCACCCATCTTGGTCTCAGGATTCTGGCAACATGAAAAGTATTAACAAAAGTCGATTAATAAAAAGTAAAACTTATATTTATATTATCATTCCTGCAAAATGAATTAAACTCACTTTCATGGAATTATTTGACATAATAGGTTTAATAAATATCAGCCTGAAACAAAGAACCTTGAACACTTGTCCAGCTTGTTCCATTAGATAAAAACCCAGCCAAATGCGTTCATTCCCATTTGTAATCTCAGCACTTGGGGTGCTGAGACATAAACTCAAGGTTAAGCAAAGCTACACAGTGAGAGCTTTTCTCAAAAAACAAAACCAAAACCAAGATTCAAAAGTAGAAATGTGAAATCAAAACAGGTTCTTCAAAACTTTCTATATGCATTGTAAACCCATCATTTTCTCAAATCAGTAATGTTGTGCACATCTTTCTCTAAAACGTCACCTGATTCAAGGAAATATATTCTATTCCGGAATGCACAGAAGTTCTAAGGCAGCAAGGCACTTTTCCTAAGGAAGCGCCAGTCACCTTCGCCCTCTGCTTTGCTTCCAGGGTGAGGTGTCGGTTACTCAATCAACAGATTAGAATAGGCACTTAGATGGTGAAGTAAAGGCTATTTTAAAACCTGTTCTCATAGCACTTTAATAAGATGAAATAAATTGCATCTGTACTAAAAATAGTTCACCATTCTGAAACCTAACGCCTGCTTGCCAGAACAATATTAGCATGGCATAGTCTGTGCATTCTTCCTCCTAATATGGCATCCACTGTGCACAAAACTCAGAATGTGCACTACCCGACGTTCAAAAAATACAATCTGCTTAAAAACACTTAAAAAAAAAAAGGCAAATCAGTTACCCTGACAATACCAAATACACTAGACTCAAATGTTGAAATCTGAGCTTTTGTTGTGGAGCTGACTTTCATTGTGAAGCTCGTTTTTAATTTTATGCTAGCAAAGTCTGAGGAAAGCTCCACTCTAACAGCAAAGCACACCCACCAGGTTTACGGAAATACTTTTCCTATACTTAAAAATAGCGTCGTGATGCTTGAAACCTGAGCTTTCTTCCTTGAGTTCAACAACTGTAATAAAATTAAAAAAGAAAGAATGAAAAAAAAAACTACTTTGGAGAATTACTGGACTGTTAATTATCAAATACAACACAATTTTACACTGACAAAAGTCATCACTTTTGTTTTAATAAAGTTGAGAACAAAATAGAGAAATATTGAATGTCATAAGGAACATTAAAGATACAATAATTTTCAAAATAAAATTTTAAGCATTTTTTACTCATAAAAGGTTTGCACTGTATTTACTAAAATTTTGAGATGAAAACTGAAAACAATGTAGAAATGAGACAGAAAGGTGAAAAGCAAATCTACCGCAAGCATTAACTTTAAAACCACACACAAATGCCAACATTAAAAGAAACTTTCCTAGTTTTTCTTAAGACAGACATCGAAATATTTATAAGTATCTGATACTGTTACTAGATTGACATTTCATGCACTATAAGAAATAACTCATGGCTAAAACACAGCAACCGTGACAATTTAAACTAGCTTTCATTATCCAGAATAACTGTCAGACCACAGAGAAACAGGAAACAAACCTTTTGAAAGCTTTGATTCTTCTGCCACTTTGGTTAGATGCCCCTGGACAATCAGCTTCTCTGCCAAAGAAAATAAACGTTACTAACCAAGCTCAAACAGAGCCTCATCCCCCGAGTGGAGCGCCGTAACACATTCCATGACCAAATTTAAAGACGACAGCATTACCCCTGTGACCGAGCTTCAACAAAAAGCTTGAACCTAGAAAGGGAACTAGAGAAGCGAACTTCCTAGAATAGTCAAATGAACGCAGAAAACTGGGATAGAATATGCTTTCCGTTTTCATTAGAGATCATCATATTGTAAAGTCTAGACCTTTGTAAAGGTCTCAAAAGAAACAATGTGATTTCTTTATGCCGTGGTGTAAAGGAATCCCAAGAAGGCAGTTCTCTTAAGGAAGAGAAGCAATGCTCTACTGCCGGCTCACTCTTTCCTGCCGGCACAATTCAGAAGTGTCTGTATAACTTACATCAAGAAAATAGACGATTTTAGAAGAGCTAGCTATTTAGAAGAAATAAAAAATAACTTTTTGCTTTATCGAGTACTCTCTGTAAGCATTTAATATATCTTCACAATTTACTTGAAGTCATTTTTTCACATTCTGCACTTCACCAAAGCAGATAATATACCTATTCTGTATATTTTATTCTTTACTCCTATGTCAGCCGGTGTCCTTCAATCAATGCCTTTGCACTAGGAAAAACAAGTTTTTTTCACAAATCAATGTCTAAAACCAACACCACCACAAACTCTTGGTTGCCCAGTCCCTTCCATTTCTTACAGGTTGTTTATTTGCCCTTCTTAAAAAAAAAAAAAACAAAAAAAAACAACAAAAAAAAAACGATAGGTTCTTCTGGGGGACTGAAGACAGAAAGTTGTATAAACAGGCAAATACATAACCAGTGAGCAATATACCCAGCACTTTTACATCTTATTTTGAGACATAAGTTGCCTACACTGGCCTTGAACTTGTGATTCTTCTCTTCACCCTCCAGGTAGCTGGGAATATAGACTTATGCCACCAGATCCACTTCACAGTTTTGAAGAGGCACTAGTCCTAGAAGACATGATGTCTAACCTGCCCTATCTGTTCTCTGTCTTACTCTACTCCACTCCTAAAATGCACTTCTACAAGCATTAACTTTTAACCATTTCCCCATTAATTGTATGTATGTATGTATGTATGTATGTATGTATGTATGTATGTATGTATTTATTTGTTTGTTTAATTTAGGGTTTTTGAGCCAGTATATCACTACGGAGCCCAGGGTAGCCAGAAACTCAAAGTCTTTCTGCCCCTTCAACGTGATGGTATTAGCAGGTAGGCATCACCATGCCTGCCTATTACATTTGTATTTTTAAATAATACATTCAAGGAAAAAATTCAAGGACATTTGTGAAACTATGTTCATAGCAGCATTATCTGTAATATCCAGAACCTGGAAACAACGTAGATGTTGCTCAACTGGAGAATGGATAAATAAAATGTAGTAATTTACACAATGGAGTACTACTCAGCGGTAAAAAACAATGGCATCTTGAAATTTATACGCAAATGGATGGAGCTAGAAAAACCATCCTGAGTGAGGTAACCCAGACCCAGAAAGATGAGCATGGTATGTACCCATTCATAGGTGAATACTAGCTGTAAAGCAAAGGATAAGGAGCCGATAGTCCTCGACCCCAGAGAAGCTAAGTAACAAGGGGAACCCTAAGAGAAACATATTACAGATCCCCCTGGGAAGGGAAAATGGACAAGATCTCAAGAAAATTGGGAGCATGGGGGTGGGGGAAAAATAGAAGGTGGAAGGGGAAGAAGAAGGGAGGAGATGGGGGAGGAGAACTAGAGGGAACTGATTGGTCGAGAAGCAGGGAAGGACAGAGATGGAGAACAAGGAAAGAGATATCTGGATTGAGGGAGCCATTATGGGGCTAGCAAGAAACCTAGTGTTATGATTCTAGCCACACAGCATGGCTGGCACTTCTGGGTTCCAGGGCCACACATGTGAGAACAAGTGCTTGGACAAAATACATAGCTGCCCGGGGACCATAGAAGACCCTGCGTGACCTACTTATGGCATAGTTGTATCACCTACGTATGACGCAGCTACGTAAGCCCTTGTGCACATGTGTGAGCTCCACCATATGCATGTGCCATAGCTATGTCATTCCCCTGTGCCCATGCACTAGGTGGCCTTTAAAAGCTGGACGCACCATCTTCAGCCCTCTCTTGCTGCACACCGACTCCACCAGGCCTGTGCTTGTCTCCTTGAATAAACTTCTAAGCGGGTTTGTTGCATGTTTCGTGCTTCCTTCTTACTCGCACCAGGTGACATTGGTGCTGTGACTCAATTTCACCTACCACTAGAGAAATTCCCAGGAATCCACAAGGATGACCCTAGCTAAGACCCTAAACAATTATGGAGAGGGTGCCTGAATGGGCCTTGCCCTGTAGTCAGACTGATGACTATCTTAAATGCCATCATAGAACCTACATCCAGAAACTGATGGAAGCAGATGCAGAGAACTACAGTGGAACATTGGGCTGAGCTCCCAAAGTATAGTTGAAAAGAGGGAGGAATGAGAATATGAACAAAGAGATCAAGACCATGATGGTGATAACCTCTGAAACGGCTTACCTGAGCTAATGGGAACTTATTGGCTCTGGCCGGACAGCAGGGAACCAGCATGGAACCAAACAAGGTACACTGAATGTGGATGACAATTGTATGGCTGGGGCAGACTGTGGGGCCACTGGCAGTGAGACCAGGATTTATCCCTACTGCTTGCATTCTCTCTGGAGGGAGACCTTGCTCAGTCTAGATATAGTGGGGAGGGCCTTGGTCCTGCCTCAAAGCAATGTGCTAGACTTTGTTGACTATCTAAGGGAAGCCTTACCCTTTCTGAGGAGTAAATGGGAAGTGGAATAGGGTGTGGGAGGAGGGAAAGTAGAGGGAGCAGGAGGAGGGGAGGGAGTATGAAATGCATTTGGCATGTAAAATGAGAAAAGCTAAGTTTTTTTTTTAATAAAATTAAAAAAATGACACACCAAAAAAACAATGACAATTTTATATTTTACCATTATCTTCAGGAGTACTGAGTTACCAACCTATTAGTATTTTATTGACTATTTACATGTGAATTATATAATATGCTGTATCTCTTTCCTTAAACAACATTAATTGTATTAGGTGCTTAAACACTTTTTAAAACTAATATATGTTCTTACAGAAACAAAGTTCCCGATATTATCACACATCCCTCCCATCCCTCCCTCTAACCATTTTTTCTTTCAGATCCACCTGCCTCCACCTCCCAAGTGCTGTGCTTACTGCACCTCACCACTCCTGGCTTCTCAGCCTTTTAATTTTACTGCCTTAGTCTCAACTGTATTCTGCACTGTGCCCCTGACCCTGGATTCTAACTCTTTCTGGTCTATCCTCTTTCTATTATTATAACATACCTTCTGATAATTTCATGAAAAGGAATGGACAGGAGGAAAATGACCTGCTAGCCTTTTCCTCTGAAATGAGTTTCCTACTAATACTCTGATGGTTATCTGACAACTTAACTAGGTCCCACAAAATAGTTTCCCTTTTGAGCTTGAAAAGCACACTGCTCTTCTGTTTCCTAGCTTCCATGTGGGTGAGTCCAATGACTATCTGAGTGCTGAGCCTAGTGGGTGGTAAGGATTTCCAGTGCTTCCAATACCGGATCTGCCTGTCCTTTCTCAGTACCTGGGGGTGACATACCCCAAATCTGTAACACTGAGAAAAGTCTACGACCTAGGCTGGCTAGGATTAAAGCATTTAAGAGAGGATGGAAGTCTTCTACTTCTTCCTCACAACCTCCCCACACTCCAGGAATTCTAGAATCATTTGAGACGACAACATCATGGTAAAGACGATCAACTTTCATAAACCCTGAGTAGCGAGCGATGTGGCACAGTGTTCTCACCACAACAGATGAGCAGCATAAACGAGAAATAAACGTTTAACCGATTAAGCCATTAAGCATCCAGAGATTGCTCAGTGGTTAAGAGGAGCCAGTTCTATTCCCAACAACATGGTGACATGCCCATTTGTAACTCCAGTTCCAGGGGGTCTGAGACTTGCTTATGGCCTCCATGGGCACCAGGCATGACATAGTACAAACACATACATGCAGGCAAAATAATCATACATACAAGATAAAAATAAATACATTTTAAAATAAATAAGAGTTTGGAAAGTAAGAGAGAAGGAAAAACAAAAAAAATTCAGGGTTTATTTACTGCCATGTTATAATTTTTTTTTTTGTTAACTATGAATCTTCTCTTTATACTTGGAATTCTTAAATTCCCTACCCCACTCTAGTCCAGGGCACTGTACCACTGGGCTTATGACCAACCTCATTATTCTTTTGCTCTATCTCTGTCTCTCTCTCTCAACTAAAATTCACATAGACTATCCATTTTAAAGGAACATATCTAAAACATTTTCATCACCCAAAAAAGAAGCCATATAAACATTAAGCATTTATTCCCTAGCCTACCTCTCCAGGTCCTGACAGGTTTTGATCTGTTTTCTATCACTTGATCTATTTACCCTGGATGTTTCATATAAATGAACAATAGTGTGTGCCTTGGGCTCTAGATTAACATGAGATCTTTTAAGACAGCGTGACGAACACTCAGTGCATCTTCTTAGTTTACAACATAGAGTTTTAATGCCTTCCAGTGGGGGAATTATCTTATTCTGTTTTACTGCTAAGTATATTCATATTTTCTCTCTCTCTCTCCTCTCTCTGTCCCCTTCCCTGCAGCCCATTTTCCTTGCTTCTCATACCTAAACTTATTATTCACATGAAACATCTTCAGGACAATTCCTTATTTTAAAATTTTTACTCAGAAAAATCAAATTTTACTTAAAAACTTCCATCATTTTTATTTTCTAGAATATTTAATTTTTTAAATCCTTCTATGGATTTTGACTCCATACTGATTTAAAATTTCTTCTACTGAATTATTATACTCCTCTACTGAATTATCATATTACTCTACTGAATCATACTCTTTAAAAAT